CACAAACCAAACCAATTGCTGATCTCAACCAACTTACAATAGTGCTCCAGAATCTGACCAGTAAGTTAGAAACTCTTGAAACACCTAGAAGATTCACTTATTCATCCAGAAATAATGAGCAAAATTATCATCATAATAATAACTATTCTGCTCCAACTTGTTATAACTGCAACAAAATTGAATATCTATTCAAAAATTGTGATAAATCATATAATCAGAGCACTTATTGTCAGAATTCTAATAGAAATCAATAGTTTTGGAGCAACTAAAATAATCGATCTAATAATAATAGTAATAATTTCATCAGAACAAATACTACTCCTAATCGACCAGTGTCAACAAATAATAATAATAATAACCAAGCCAATCTTTTATCTCAAATTCAACCATTATTAACTGTTCTTCAAACACTAATCTTCCTCAACAAACTAAAACTTCAGGTTATCTAATTGGTAATCGAAAGAGAACTAAACTAGATGAATCAGATATAGTTAAAGAAGAAGATACAGTTATGACTGAACCAAGTAACCCAGTAATATTAAATGTTTTGCCACTAGAAATTCAAGCTGAACAATCTATATTCACTGCATGAATCATTGCATCAAAAAAAAGATCAAAAAAGATAGAAAGGCAAAGCTATATTATCTATTCTTGCTGCCAAATCTGTTCTATATGATATTCTTGATGACTTAACAATTAATAAAACCAATATCACAATCAGACAACTAATTCGAATCTCTCCAGAACAATGTCTAAAAATATCTAAAGTCATGAGATGACCTTCTAGACCAAAATGAAAAACCATTAGAAAAGTTACTGAAATGGTTGAACAGAAGATTAAAACTACCTCTATCTGGTGTGAAGCTAAGATTGAAACTGTATTCATTAATTTAATTATTAATATTGGTGCCTTTGTTGTGTTGCTAGTAATGATTTTCTGAAGAAATATGATATCAAAATTCAACAAAAATCTAATATTACTATGTCAGATATAAATAATAAATTTAAATAATTTCTTGATGCAATTGATAACTTCCCAATCACTATTGCTGGAATCATAATTTCTGCTAATGTTGATATTACTGAAGCTTGCACTTATAATGTAGTAATTGGAATGGATTAGTTGAATAAAATTAAAGCCAAACTAGACTTACATAATGAAATCATGTCTTTTGATTGGAATAATCAAAAAGAAAATACCAAAATTAAATTTATCTATGGACAAGGATATGACAGTCCTGATGAATTATCTAATGAATCAAATAATAAATCCTTAACAGATGAAGAGAAATTCAAAAAATAATATCTAAAAAGTTGAAACTTTCTAATGCTTAATCATAATAATTGAATAGTAGTTCAATCATGCAGATCTCGAGTACAGTTTGACGAAAACATAAATACAACACTTGAAGAAACCTGAACTCCAGTTAAAACTCTTAAAAAAGAACTAAAATATATTAATCATCCAGATATGTCAATCAGAATTATTTGAAGTGCAAAATTGATTAATGATGTACAAGCATATTAAGAAGGAATTAAAGTACAATGGAAAAGATTTACTTGAAAAGATTGTAATTGACTTAGTGAAAAATTTCAACAATCATGTAGATGGAAAAGCTGATGATCTTTTGATTGAAAAGAATCAGATAAGAAATATTGATGTTATAATCAACTATATACTTCAGAATAATATTGCTGTTAATGCTATGATAACTTAGTCGATTGGATTGCTATTGAAATTCACAAATCATATCGAGCTGAGTATAAAACTAATGATAACTGGGCTGCTGAAGTTAAACATAAACTCTTCATGGAAAATTGAGTAAAAGGAAGATTTGATACTTATGAAGATGCCCTATATCGAATCTATTCAGATACTCAAATTGAATAATGTTTAGAGTGCAAAAAACAAGTTGATAAATACTATACTAGAGTATACTATTACAGTAATTCTGGATAGTGTGTTTCACTAAGAATTATTATAAGCATATGATGTTGGAAGAGAATGATTAAACTTAAGTAAAGAGAATGAATTATAAATATTAGCAAAGGTTTCTAAGACCTGTACCAATATCTATGGATATTGTGCAAAAGATGCGATCTACGCGAATATATGAATTCCAACTACATGTACGAAGCACTGACTTGGGAACAAAAATTACTATATTTAATTTATATTCTTGAAGGGTTGAATAGAATTCACGATAAGAAATTTTTGCATCGTGACTTTCACCCTGGAAATATATTATTATTTAACCATATTGCTCAAATCGCTGATTTTGGACTTACTAAACCAGCAGATATAGAAAAAACTGATCAAAAAATTTACGGAGCACTTCCTTATATGAGTCCAGGTACTAAATGGAAAACCATACACGAAAGCTGCAGATATTTATAGTTTCGGAATGATTGTGTACGAGATTTCCACAGGTGAACGACCATTTAGTGAACGAAGTTATGATCATTATCTCGTATTAGACATCTATGGAGTACGACCTACGATACCAAATGATGTTCCTAAATTATTCAAGTTTATTATTGAAAAATGTTAGGATCCTGTTCCAGAAAACAGACTAACTGCTGAGGAACTTGAAGTCTTTCTTGACTCTATCTACTACAATATCGATGAGGAGTGGAAACCGAATACTTTGCATTTTCAGTGCTATAGCTCTTTAGAATATCCTAAGACAAATGAAGAAATTATTTGAGTGTCTCAAACTGGAAAAACAGAAATTAGCTGAACTTGACGAGATGATGAAAAGCGTTCCTACAAATACGAGCAAAAAACAACAAATCCACTCAAACGCAGTTTACACCGGTTGAATATTTACTTCAAAATTAATTTCAATTCCAACTGAGACAGGTACTTTCTATTTCTAAATATAAATCAAATCGATATTATCGTTTCATTAACGAACACTAGATTTCAAAGAGCATAAAACGACCAGCAAACGTCCTATTGAATGTGTGTCGGAAGAATCAAATAAAAGGGGAAAGCTTCCATTTTTATTGAATTAAGAGAAAATAATATTATTAAAAGATAAAAGGTGGGATCTGGAGAAAATATACGTAAATGCAAGTTGCGTTCGTTATCGTTATAGAATCATTAAAGGGATAAAAAAATATAAATTTTTAATTTGCTAGCATCAAAAAAAATAGCATTTGAACAAATCAGTGTCTTTAGAAAGTAACGAAAACAATGATAGAAGAGCGAATTATAATTCACCAATATATTCATCCTTTCCTAATCTGAAAACGTTATCTGAAATCAACAATTTTCCCTTCATCCAAAAATAAGAGAAGTGAAGAAACCATATGCTACAATTTAAAACGACCATTTTTTAAATACGATCTTCTTATTTAAGCTTCCTCAAATAATACAGTTTTATATCGATACTATTATTATTTATCGTTATGCTAGATCAACGTTAATTAATAAGTTCTAAATTCATATAACTAGAGCCAACATAAGCTCTTTATTCCAAATTAACAAAATAAAAATTATGTATACGCGCGTTATATGTTCTTTTTTGTGCATGTGTGGTAAAATAGGCAACAAGACAGACACTCGAGTGAAATTCAATTATATAAACCTTGACGCTAGATATGAAGAATGGCACAGCTTTACCAGAAGAGGCTAAAAACTGAATGTGATAGTGGATTATTTGGTGCTCTTGGATGAGTATGCGCAATTAAAGAAATCCTATAACTAACCGATCCCTAGGCAAGAGCGACAGAAATCGATTCTTTAACTGGCCTCAAAATCGCATGGACTGATCGAAAGATCCTAGAATACGCGTCCCAAAGATGTGGGAAAAAGGCATTTGAAATGACCTTATGGAGAGGTAAGGTACGACAGAATATAGCAATCGAAAAATGAGTATGGCAAGGAAACCTCCAAGTTACTATTGTACATAAATCAAATGTTGGGAGTATCACGGCGTGAAAAATACAGTCACACCTCTTTATAAGCACACCTATATTTGAGACCATTTATTATTAAGTCATAGAAAAAATTACTGTGACCGACAGTGATGAGTTAGTTGGTTGATTCCATGGTGTATGAATATTCATAATATTATCATTTATTTTTAATTTAGATCAAACGATCACATTTATTTGATGTGGCAGTTGCATGACGGTATTGATAGTAACGAAGCTTGGGTGTGGTTCCAAGCACCAATGTCCAATGTTGACGATAACTTTGTAGTGGCTCGCTGTTTGTGAAAGAGCGTTTCAAGATATTGGCCATGATGTTTTTTTTCTTTAAGCCTGCGCACCCAACAGTGATTAACTAGTCTTAAAACGCGAAAAAATTCCGTTTGTGGTGTACACTCGAGGCAAACATTTTCGTCCATGATCAACGTCAAGCTATCGCTATGTGTTGTTGAAAAGCATACGCACTTCAACTTTTATTCCTTTTAGATGATACCTCTTCTTTGGTCACCACAGATTTATATATGTTGCAATAACACCATACCGAAAGTTGTTAGAAATGTACGAATAGATTTGCTGAACGACACTCTTTCGTTGTATTGTTTGTTGTGACGTTGTATATTACCAATATTTATTAGAACATTTGGTTTTTTTGATTTTACTGACTAAAACAAGATTTTCTCGTTTTGTCAAAATAAAATCTGGTTCACCAGTCAGTTCACTTCTTGCAATCCTTCTGAACTTATGAAAATTTTATTCAACTACAAGTACTCATCGCTTCTCTAACACTTTTCTTATCAATCATCTCTCATTAAACGCAAGCTCTTTATATTTTTGTTCGTTTCCAAAATCACATGTGTGTTTATATCATTGGAAAAATCACCCAATGCACGTAAACGTGAAGATTCTCTCCAATTATGCGAGGAAAATACGAAATAGCAGATAGAGCAACCGATGACACTTGCTTCCATGAAAGGTACTAATTAGTCTATATCACTTTGCTTTATCTCTTCAAAGTCAAATTAAACAACTTAAATATAAAGAAAGTCGTGATCAATATACGGATGGATGATGGGGAACGATTCAGGGTTGATATCGAACTGGATTGGACTATTGGTTCAGTTCAATAGTCCAGTCCAATTAATCCGGTTCAAGCTCAATGATTTATTAATCACATATTTTATTCATTGACCTAATTGTAGTCCAGTCAGTCCGATAGTCCAGTCCAAATTTATACGCTATACTTTGCTGTTGCAGTTGTGAATTTATTTACCGTTACGAATTCCACAAGTGTGTTGTGCCACAGTACAATCATGTGATAATAGCTCTAGAAGAATTCAAGTACAAGTATGCCATCTTCGTGTTAAAATCAAAGGTATTTTATTTGAATTTTATTTTTATACTCAATATTCGCTACGCTAATATTGAAAATAAGCACCACCCGAAATTAAGCAACCCCGCATTTGTAATAACGTTATTGAAAATAAAATCTAACGATTGTCAAAAATCACCGGCATCACCACCAATACATATAACGAACTCAAGTACCTCTATCGCTATAGCTATAGCACTGTTATTAAATCCAACAACCATGTGTATGAAATTATTTTTATTAAAAATGTTTAACACGTCACGTGATCACTTAATTTACCAACTTATTTATAGTGATAGATATACATGTACATGTATTTAACGTTACTATTATTATTTCATAGTCAAGAAAACTTGTTACATGACATGTATCATCTAAATGTCCTTACTATGAATGTATGATTGAATTTTCAGATGATCGGTACGTTTTTAGAGATCCCGCCTTACACAAAATAAATATTATTAATTCTGTTCTATTAATAACTGTAAAAAACGTATTGTACCATTTTTGATATGGTATATAAGAAACATCTATATACAGTATTGGTACACATATATACTGTCTTTTTGGTAAAAGTTGAATTTGTTTCTTTAATTGTTTTTTATCTTTTTCAATATTGCATAATAAATCGCTAGAATTTAAAATTATCTCCTACACAATGAATAATAACAAGAATAATATTATTATTCATGACAATAGTCAAAAATCAAAAAAAAGCAGTATATACTCGAGTGAACCGGATGATGGTGATATTGAATATACCAAAGCCTTAAAGAGATTATCTCCGACTATCACCACAGCATCTATATCATTCATTGCAACAACATCTTCATCAATATCACTGCAAAAATTAGCCCCAGAAATCTTGGAATCAATATTTATTCATCTCTCGACACCTTGCACCGTTGCCCCAGTCTGTCGTTTATTCCATCTAATCGTCGCCTTTTCGAAATCATTTAAGCGACGTTGGCTTCGTCAATGGCTTAACCCAAAACTTCCAGATGCATTCATGCCAACTTATTCTGATCTCTGTCGTGCAATCGAATCAAAAACTCCAATCAATATTTTGGTTGAGATCATCAATCTTCAGATACTTGGAAAACGACCACTTTGCTCTTCTAAAGGAGGATATGTCACGAGATTAGTTGATGCAGCGTATGCACATACGGACAGAAAAATATTAATTCCATTTCTGATCAAGAAAGGAATGAGACTTGAGGTTTATATTCATAATCATACGACACATGATTTCGAGTTGACTGAAGGAGGAAATGAAATCGAGAAAAAAACAACCAAAGATTATTTCTCAGTGTTAGTGTTTGCGCGTCAAAATTCTTTTGAATTCTACAATCAATTGTTGGCAGCAAAAAAATACTTCAACGAAACTGAATTAGCATTTGGTATTGTACTTCATCAAAGATTCGATGTTGCCGATGCACTTTCTCTACAGATGCAACACACGTTGGATGTATTGGACGAATGTGTAGATCGGCAATACACGAACGGAATAGCATGGGCTTTCGCACGAGGTCTTGGCGATGCTCAAAAGCGTAATCCACTCTATCTTCGAATATGTGTTGAGAAAGCAGATGTAGAAGCAGTCAGAACATTAATATTGAACGGGGCATTAATTAATATTTCGCCATCATCACATCAAAACAATGCAGATTCATTTGGATCAACCAGTTTTCTCGAATTTTCATTACAATGTTACTTCTCGTATCACAAAGAAAAAGAAACCAGAAAAGCGAGAATCGAGATTATTAAACTGTTTTTAATGTCAAATGCAGATCCAAATGCTGATTGTGGACGTCCATTGGCACTGACAGTCACCAATTATAACTGGGAATTGACACGATTATTATTGAGTTTTGGTGCTGATCCGAATCGCGATAACCAATTAGCGTTGAAAATTGCTATGGATTTAGGATATAAAGATATGGCAAGTACGTTGTATCAGATAATTAAAGATAGGAGTGCAGAACATGGTCATGGTCGTAATCGTAGTGAAAGTAATAATCGTAGTCGTAATATAAGTGATATGGGACATATTCGTAGTCGGAGTGAAAGTAATATGGGTAGTCGGGGTAGAAACAATGGAGATGATAATCATGCCGATGAAAACGGTAACAACAACAAACGGGATAGTACTTTATTAAAAGCGGTACGTAAAATGACACACTCTCTTGAGAAAATGAGAATTCCTGGTCGACGCAAAAGCGAAAGTGACGCAAAAAAATCACGACAAATCAACATCTAATCAAAGAAGAATGGCTTCATATACGCCAACGCAAGAATAGGTTCGTCAACGCAAGAATAGATTCGTCAACGCAAGAATAGATTCGTCAACGCAAGAATAGATTCGTGTACGCCAGCGCAAGGATAGATTATTAATACTTTTATCTTGTCTGCTGTATATATTTGTATTTCATTTTATTTTGTTATTATTTATCATGTACATGTATATAATGAACGCATTTTTCCATTAAAATAAGAGATCTGTGCTTTATCGTTATGATGATATAATGCTGCACCCAACTGATTGATTGACATTTACATATATGGTATTGTATGGTGGGAATAGTTTGTGTTGAGAAAGAAAATAAAAAGGAGTCGGTTGTCAACTGCTTTCTTTAAATATTCTCTGAATAGAAATAATCTTAGAAATAATCAATATGGCAGAACCCAGAGTTTCTTTTGATAAAAAAGAAAGCATTATCGCTGCTAGTTCTACATCTACAGTCCCTGTTTCATGTCAACATAAACGTGTTATGCCTAAACGTAAAGCCACTCCGTATGTATGGTCTAATAATAATCATACTACTACTACACCAAAAGATAATGAAGGGAAAGGAAATCAAGGTGAAAATGAAGACGTAAATATTGTCGAAAAATAAAAATAGTAACGGTAAGTTTTTTGTTCTTCATTGTTTATACCATGTTATCGTTATTATTATCGTTATTATTATTGTATCTCATGTAACGGAAGAAATCATTTTTGTTTATCGATTTTTATTTATCGATTTTTATTATTTATCGTTATCATTATTGCCTGATTTTTAGTGGGAAAGAAATAATAGACAGCGGTGAGAATAAATCATGTTACTTCGGAAAAACATTGTTTGCATCTCGTAATGGTAATGTACATGTACATGCATGTTAATTAATCAATTAAACCTAAAGTAATAGTTTTTGCTGATTGGTTAATTTCTTTGGTATGAATGAACGAATGAATTAATTTGCATTAGCAACGAAATAACGACATTTTGCTTTAATTTATTTTACGATAAAACGAAAACGCCAAAAAGATTGAATGAGTTAATTAAATCAAATATTTACGATAACACCAAAAAGATTGAATATCTATCGCTATCTTGGTATCGAAAAGCTCAAACTAAGCATTTTAATATTTGCGTTATTACACTAAACCAATTCTCGTTATACATAATTTATAAATCGTAAACAAATTTCTTGCTACGTATTTGACTACACAAGTTACCCCTATCTGAGATACAATTCATATTATTGCGTGTAAGGTGGCTTTTGTTTAACGCAACCCTTTCTCCAAAGAATATTTAATGTGTAAATGCAGAATAAGAATACTAATGCAATTGACAACCAAATTCATTGAATTAAGAAAATAAGCTTTTAATTGTGCGCGCCAGACCTTAATCGGCACACAACATATGAGTACATTAATTTGCGTTGAAACCTAGCTAGTTGAAACCCCTGGATCTTATTCGCAGCACGATTACTATTTTTGCTATTGAAAAATGCGCTCAATTGCTTTTTTTGATAGCATTCAGTCGATTTTCTTGAAAATTTTAAATCGAGACAAAAAATACATGTCTGTTCAACGATTATTGTTGAAATGCAAATGGATCGATTTGTGATACTTACCATTGCCACATAACAGAATACATGTACAAAATCTATGCTGCTATTGATATAAAAGGTATACAGGCCTCGATAATATATCTTTTATTCTTTTTCGATCATTCTTTATTATTGCTCTTTCCCTTTCCTTTCTTTAATTTTACTTTTTTATTCACGTGCCTTCCTTGCGTGCAAGATAAAGTGTTAAAAGAAAAAGATATTTTGAAATCAAAACTCACATTTCTCACATCCGCATCCACACTCACCATTATCCATTCAACCGTTCGCATTCCCTCTTTCTACCTTTCCTTTCTTTAATTTTTTTATCATCATTGATTGATATATATATATATATATATATAAATTTTTTTATGACGTGATTTAATTGCTATTAGTTCGATCATATATAAATTTGTTAATTACAATTTTATAATACGTGAATAGTATTAATTAGAAATGACGACTACAAATGCAACTACATCATCGTTGCCCCTTCATCCAAGGCCATTAGCAAATGTCAGCAACTATGATAATATGGTTTTAGTCTTTCAGAATCAAACATATTGTGACTGGAGAGTTACTGTCAATTGCGAGAATGGAGAACTTTACGTGATGATATATCAAGTGACTCTCTTCTTGCTATTGTTGCTCACATTTGCTTGCTGTGGTTTATTGTATTATCGGTTGCGAGTACAAAAATGTACCATTTTTGCCCCGAGAATCCCTGGATCTGGAAACATAAGACCAAATCCAATTGAAACGTTTTTGATCTGGGAAATTTTTTGGCTGCTTGGTAAGTTGAAAATAATAGCAATCAAATATGCCAAGTTCACAATAAGCATCATTAACAATTTAATTGGTTTTCTTTTGAAAGGACGACTGCTTTTTCTTTTTGTATTAAAAGTGGACCTTTTTCCTAATCGTTATTTGATACGTGAATGTAAGTACTGCTACTATGATTATTTTATTTTTACGATATTCTTATTTACTAATTCCGTCTGATTTGACCTTTTGCAGTTTTACAAGCGTTCGTAAGTTCATTTCATTTAATTTCATTGACTTAGATTAACATGGACTCGTAACTAACACATATGTTCATTCTCTTTGGTTTAGCCTGACTCATTTGGCACAACAGGTATTCTTTGGTCTTACTAATATTAAATTAATTAATCATCATCATAAAGTACATGTACTAATTAAGTTGTGGATAATTACAAAAAAGGATTTGCATGGTTCGCAGTAGGGACATATCTCCAAATCGGCATTCATTTAAACTCGAAAGCACGTCCCTGGCGTCCCGATTATCGAATGGCAGATCGATTTCTGTTAATAATTACTGTTGCTGAACCACTTACAACTTGGTCATTGGTTGCTCTTAATGGATATGTTCGCGATAGCGGTTACTCCGAGATCGGTGATGTTCTTATAGGTGCTCATTATGCGCTTCAAAGGTATGTGTCGAATAGCAATATGTACATGCATGTATCCTGTCACAAAATGAATTGGTTCACAACCACTATAATCGGTTACACCACATTCCAACAATTTAGCATACATAAATATGTGCATTGTGGCTTACTTGATGTTGTACCAATCGGTTAATCACTTACCATTTTTTGCCATTGAATAAATAGTTTTTGGCATTCATTCGGCGCAATGGGAGCATTTTATTTTGGTCGCGAGATATGCAATGTGCTACAATATCATATCGACGTGGCTCGTACAACCTCTAATCTTGCAGGCGCACGAGTAATTAACCTGGAAGCTGGATTGCGCAAGGTAATTTATATGGCATTCAAATTATGCATTGCATCATCATTATCGTTATTAACAAATCAAAATAATAGATTCGCAAAATGTTGTACATTACTTTCACCACATACGTATACTACATCATCTTTTGCATCGTATTCTCGTCTACTCGAGTAAGTCCTATTCTCGTCTGTAACGAATTATACGCTCGTCATTCTTACATTGCATATAAAATAATCGTCAATAATTTGTCTTTTAAATTAATAATAGATCTTAATACTCACTCGACTGCCCGAATTTAATCAATTCCTTTTTATCAGTTATTGTATGTTCATGCCATGTTGTATTTGCGTTGTAGTAACAATAGCGAGTATAAGGTAAATTAAACGAGCAATACGTATATGACTTTCTTCCATTAAAATGCCAGTTGAATTAATGAATTTTTTATTACACAACACAACAAATAGAAACAAAACCAAAGACATTTCAACTTCCGACTCTACATTTGAAGATGACCAAACGACCGTCACCTCGACAACTCAACTTCAACGTAAACAGTCCAAATTTGCATTCGTTTCAACGAAAACTTCGTCACGTACGTTAAATTCTATCCAAGAAGTGGATGATTACAATAAACAATATTCAGTTAATTTAGAAATGGATGAATTGGATGGAACACGAGAACAAACCGTCGATCGATCCAATTCAAAAAAAGAAAAAGGATATGACCTTCAATTTATGGATTTATAAAGAAATCACATTTGTCAAATAGATTACGTATAATAGCGATAGATTTCAATTCAGCAAATCAAAATACTATAACATCAACGAAAAAGAGACAAGTCTGATTATCAATGAAAGAAATATGGTCAAAAGATTGGTGATTTCACGTTAAAGATCCGCAACAACAAGCAACAACTCTGAATTAGAAACACCACCACCATCACAACAACAGTACGTATGGCCAGGAAGTTGTGATGATTTGTCACCTCCTCAGGCAGCGCATTTGGGAAAATTCGATTTTGATGCTGATTTTATTAGTGGTGAAATAATGGCAGTAGTAGAATGTTTTTTGTGTATTATAAAATAAAATAATTATTGGTTGTTTGCTTTTGTCAATCATTATTGTGTGGTGGGGAGGAGGTTTTGAAAGTGAGACTTTAAAACAATATAAAATATTTGCGTTTTTGCATTACAAAGAGACCTCCCTAAATGCACGCTATTACTCGGCCCAAACTTATAAGACCTCTATAATGCACACTCTGTCTTTTTTAAATAGGGTCCCAAGAGGGTGCACTTAGAGAGGTTTCTCTGTACACCCATTCATATATCGATATATAAAAAAACATAAACATATACTGTACCTTGTTTTTTGAAGATTTGCAAACATATTATTTTTACTCACCATGCACCCTTCTTTCGTCATTCCTATTCGGTTACTTTTCTTTTCTTAGAGTATCATATCGATATGTTTTATCCTTCAAGAAATCGATGTAAATAATAGTGGATCGTGCTTTATCTTTTCAATTTATAGAAATTCAATTATCTTATTGTGCGTATTATTTAAAACGATTAACTCTCAACACGTCTATTTACCTCCACGGATTAATCTCACGCCGATTTTTTTCTCGGGATTATATAAAGAAATTGATTGTCTTTCGTATTTTTGCCAAATAGAGCTCCGAAAAGTTATCGAGGCGGGGGGACGCCTGAGTCATGAAAAAAATAAAGTTGGTGTTAATGTTAATATCTTCATAATTTGTCGTCTCTTGCTTAACAATTTTCTCTGATCAATACAAAGTTCTTCTTTCATGTGACGAACATGAATTTTTCGCTATCCCAACGATTTCATCCGGATCTTAATCACATTTGAAACGTTTATCCATTACAATTACGAAGATTTGAAACAGAGGTGTGTTGTTGATCAAGTGAAAAAGAGTGTCACGAAGGACAAGGATTTCGTATGTTATAAAAAGACAAATGAGTAATGAATCATGGGTCAAATAACTAACATTTATTATGCGACAGTTAATACAAATGTGATGCAGTAAGACCGAGAAAACTATATACAACTGACTCTCGTTATAAGACACGCTCGATAAAAGGAAATTCCCATATGAATTTTTTCCCGACCCAAAATCAGTATTAAATAAATTATACTATCACGATAAAAGAAACCCTCGTAATTAAGGCCGACCCGACCACTATCTTATAACGGGAGTCAGTTGTAAGTTACCATTTACCCACATTTACTATTGAAAATGCAAATCTCTATACTTAGTTTATCAGGTGGTTACTGCGGCGAGGACCTTTACGTATGCATAACAACATTATCGTTATATAAACATGAGTCATAAGTAAAATGTCATCTTAAGAAAGTAAATAGGGATGGAGCGTCGTTTTAAAAATAAATATGAACGTGAATATGTACATAAATAATCTATAATAAGAAAATAAAAATAAAAAAATAAATATCGTTACTTAGCACTAATTGTACAGTCGTTCAGATCGACTAACGCTAAGCCGAAGATCCGCCTGTTTTGGGATTACTAATTGCACAGTCATCCAGATGTGAATCATATTGACTCATTCGTTGTCTCAGTTGTTCCAGTTGTTCTCTATACATTGGCATTTGACGATCCTGAAGATATTTAATAGATTTACTACGCTCATTTTGAAATTCTTGGTATTCTGCTGTATGTTCTGGGGGTGCGTTATACGCTGTAAAATTTTTAGCGTATAGCACGGATTGTCTTTCATCGGCGTCCTTAAATTCTGTATAGTCTTCTTTGAAGAAGTACCAACTTTCAGTTGTCTCGAATAATTCTTTTGTAGTAGGTCGATCTTCCGTATTGTGTTGCCAGCATTTTTTCATCAATTCAACCCATGGGTTTGGAGTGTCTGTATGAATTTTTGGTCGATCACCGTCCCAAATTGCACATTGAAGGAGTGCGTCCTGATTATAAACTCTTCTTCGAAAAGGAGCTTGACCAGGCGCACTCAACTCCCACATTAGAATACCGATGCTATAAATATCGGAAGCCTTTGAATGTGGTTGACCTCGGAAAATTTCGGGCGCTGTGTATTGTATTACTCCATAAGTGCCTTTGCCCGTTGTATGCCGTCGATCACAAGGTCTTGCAAGTCCTAGATCAGCGATATAAATCCGTCTAAAGAAATCACGTTCGTAGAATTTATTGTCGAAAAGAATGTTTCCTGCGTGCAAGTCTCGATGAATAATGTCTTTATTGTGTATAGTAAGTAGCTGTTGTGATATTCCATAAAGCAGCTCAATCCTGTCTCTCCATGAAATCTTTCTATGGTTTTGTTGTAGAATAGAACGTAAATCTCCTCCTTTTGCGAATTTAAGAACCATCATGAATTCAATATTATTAGGATCGTAAGTAATCCCGAATATGTGAAGATGTGCGTTCATGTCGTCACCAAAACATTGATGGTAATTTTGAAGCTATAACAAAAAGAAAACGACGACAATTAATAGAAAATATAGAAAAATGGCAATTAAATATTTTTAATTTACCTCGTTCAAAAATTCTTTTGACATGAATTGTGAATTTTTCAGAGCTTTTAGTACTATTTTATCTCCTGCATGAAAACGCCACGATTTTATAGATTTTTTTCGTTCCTCGTTGGTTATTCTTCCCGTATACACTATGCCAAATCCGCCTGTAGCCAAATATTTCATATTGGTGATCGAATCAAATTCTACCCATTCTATATAATTGAGATGTTTATTCGCCTTTCTTTGTGTTTCTCGAATAAATTCGTTAACATTATCGTCGCCGCTATTCCATAGGCGGAAGTTAGTCTCTAATATCTTTCTATTGCAAGAATTGCACCAATCGTAACTTAAATTTGGTCTCGTGCATACTTTACAATACGCAAAGTGGTTAGCTTTTTCTCGGAGACTGAATATTGTCTTTACATCATTATCAAAGTCGTAATCAAGTTCACGTTCATCTTCTTGATAATCGTCTTCGCTGCCATCGTCTGAAAAATCGTCCTCGACAAATTGTGTGTACGTAACCCAATCTTTGTTTTCATACCAATTCGATCCGATTTTTTGATTTCCCGTTAGATGTTTATCGATCGTTTCATCAAAAGTGCCTTTTTTGAAATCATAGGAACAGACTATACACCAGAAAATTGATTTCTGAATTTGATTACAATGGGGGCAAATACGAAAATAATATTTATCATTTTCTTTGCTGAGACTATAGTTTATACTGTTTGGATTTGACATTATCAATAATTTGTATCAGTGAAAAAGGAGCAAACAACTTTTTTTTTTTAGCTTAAAGTAATTTTAAATTAACAATATTTGTCTGATGTTTTAAGTTTTATAGACGGAACTTGGATGACTAAACTCCTTTGGGGTTCATTCGACATCTAGGGAAAAATACCCGGAGAAACAATGCATAGAAAATTCTAAGTAGTGTGTGTACAATCAAAATTAGAAATTTGTACTCGTACAATTAATCGTACAATGCAATGAATAGTCGACATTCACACAATAAATAACGGAAAAGATTGACCGAGTACTTTAGAATTTCTGTAAAAAAACCGGTTTTTAGCCATTTTTCATAGGGGTGATTTCGGAAAAGTTCGACCGGACACATTAAAACAATAACGATAATGATAACGATAATGATAATGATAATTCAGAATTAAGCAAATAAAATGAGACTACACTGTAGCATTTATTAATGATAATTCAGAATTAAGAAACTCGTTTTCTTATTTAATATTGATACTACATAGTATTTAATTTTTGTTATTTTGAATTCTCCACATATTCATTAATCAGGATTTTGACTTATACTAATTCTGAAGAAAATGGATCACTATACCCATGAGAAGGGAGATATTGACTACCACTTTGCTTACTTCTACTTTTTCTATAAGTTTGTATTTGTTCTGGCATAATATATCTAAAATATTTACTACATGTTTTATTAAAACCTGCTAATGGATTTGGATTATGAGCTGCCAGACTCGCAGCGTATAATTCGGATTGTTTTTCATCGGCGACCTTAAATTCTTTGTAGTCTTCTTTGAAAAAGTACCAACTTTCGGTAGTCTCGAATAATTCTTTTGTAGTAGGTCGGTCTTCCGCATTGAGTTGCCAGCATTTCATCATCAGTTCAACCCATGGCTCTGGAGTGTCATCATAAACCTTTGGTCGCTCACCGTCCCAAATTGCACATTGAAGGAGTGCATCCCTATCATAAAGTTTAATTTCAAAAGGAACTTGGCCAGGCGCACTCAACTCCCACATTAGAATACCGATGCTATAAATATCGGAAGCCTTTGAATGTGGTTGACCTCGGAAGATTTCGGGCGCTGTGTATTGTAATACTCCATAAGTACCGCGTTCAGTTTTATGCCGTCGATCACATGGTCTGGCAAGTCCTAGATCAGCGATATAAATCCGTCTGAAGAAATCACGTTCATAAAATTCATTGTCGAAAAGAATGTTTCCTGCGTGTAAGTCTCGATGAATAATTTCCTTATTATGTATAGTAAGCAGCTGTTGTGATATTCCATAAAGCAGCTCAATTCTATCTCTCCATGAAATTTTTCTATAGTTTTGTCGTAGAATGGAACGTAAATCTCCTCCTTTTGCGAATTTAAGGACCATCATGTATTCGATTTGATTAGGATCGTAAGTAATTCCGAATATGTGAAGATGTGCGTTCATGTCGTTACCAAAACATTGATGGTAATTTTGAAGCTATAACAAAAAGAAAACGACGACAATTAATAGAAAATATAGAAAAATGGCAATTAAATATTTTTAATTTACCTCGTTCAAAAATTCTTTTGACATGAATTGTGAATTTTTCAGAGCTTTTAGTACTATTTTATCTCCTGCATGAAAACGCCACGATTTTATAGATTTTTTTCGTTCCTCGTTGGTTATTCTTCCCGTATACACTATGCCAAATCCGCCTGTAGCCAAATATTTCATATTGGTGATCGAATCAAATTCTACCCATTCTATATAATTGAGATGTTTATTCGCCTTTCTTTGTGTTTCTCGAATAAATTCGTTAACATTATCGTCGCCGCTATTCCATAGGCGGAAGTTGGTCTCTAATATCTTTCTATTGCAAGAATTGCACCAATCGTAACTTAAATTTGGTCTCGTGCAAACTTTGCAATACCCAAAGTGGGTAGCTTTTTCTCGAAGGCTCAATATTGTCTTTACATCATTATCAAAATCGTAGTCGAGTTCACGCTCATCTTCTTGATAATCGTCTTCGCTGCCATCGTCTGAAAAATCGTCCTCGACAAATTGTGTGTACGTAACCCAATTCTTACTTCCGTACAAATTCGATCCGATTTTTTGGTTCCCTATTAGTTGTTTATCAAACTTTTCATCAAATGTACCTTTTTTGAAGTCATATGAACAGACTATACACCAGAAAATTGATTTCTGAATTTGATTACAATGGGGGCAAATACGAAAATAATATTTATCATTTTCTTTGCTGAGATTATAGTTTATACTGTTTGGATTTGACATTATGAATAATTTGTATCGGTATCATGGGTCATTTTCCGGATTTTAAATACAAAATTGTCTATCAAACTCTTGCTGAATAAGGAAAAAATAAATACACAAGGGCAAGTTAGAATATCTATATTGAATAAATCGAATGCTTAGAAAGTTCGTATGTTAGCGTTAGAATATTTTTATTGAATAACGATAAGTGCGTCAGAGAGTTCGTAGTTAGACAAAATATTCTTGCCAAGCTGAATATTATTGACGATAATGATCACTCTATTTTTCTTTGTTGTAAGTATTGGAAAAGATTGTCCGAACTGGTTTTCGGAGTAGTTCAGCCGATGGCTGTCGGAACAATTTTGTTCAAAAATGAGTTCTCAATAATAACGAAGAAAGTTCATCGAGAATTTTGCATTTTGTATTGTTTTTTCTCGAAAATATAGATGATACATGGGGTGCGAGATCAAAACTTAGTTGACAAAACCTATCGCTATCGCTATACGTAACGTAACGTTAACGTTAATCATACCGATACAGGATAACCTGATATATTTTGTGATCACACCCCAATGATACATACAAATAAAGGAAATTTTTATAGTAACACAAATTTTAAAAATCTCAAAAAAAGCTTAAATGACAGAAATCACGTTGACAGAAAACAGAAGTAAAAAATAAATATTCACGAACTACATGTTTTCTTTCAAAATATTGGATGTCAAGCAAGTAAGAGGGACGAAAATCAGCTGATTTTATTTTAATATAACTACTCCCACCCCCTCCTCAATCTTATTGCATCATGTAATAATAAAATCGAGACCTGATCTGAATTGAATCTGTCCCTCCCCTAAAAATTTAAACAAATAGCTAAAAGTAAACGCTACATCAGGAAAATATACCGTCAAAAATCCTCATTTTTTGCAATAGTCTTGTATCACCTCTGTATGATGTTCACAGGTTTCGTAAATCGTCGTCATTATGAAAATAGTTTCATCAGGAATCATTAACCCATCCCACTGAAAGAATTTAAACTATAATTTTTCAAAAATTGAACTAAACATACATATGATTTAAATTTACTATGAGGGAGTATGTTAATCCGCTAAACTACATACATGTTACGTAGACGTATTTATGCATAAGTACATATCTTTAAAGATAGAAATAGAAATATAAGGAATTATAATTTAAAATTCTGTGCTACAGTGAACCCACTCTAAGTGCAACCTCACTAAATGCAATCACTATTTTACGTTCCCTAAATGCAAACTCCATACGGTCCCAAGTTAATAAGACATTAAATAAAAATGCTCTCCCTAAATGCACGTTTATATCTGATTTTCATATGTCTCCCGGCAGCTTGCATTTAGGGAGGGTTCACTGTATATGGAATTTCTAAAAGGATTAATTACAATATACAGTATAGAAAAATTAGTGCAGACTGATTGAGCGAAGTGAAATTTTGCCTCGATTTCAATATCAATATTGTGCATTATCAATATGCACATACATAACGATAATTACGATTATGCATATTGGCTGGCGGAGCTTGTGGGCCGCAATTAACGTTAATTTTAAAATTTCTGTAACTAAAATCTTGTATGCACATGTGGAGTTATTGGATCTTTAAATGACGTTAAGATGCATGTAAATAGTTTTTTTATTTTATTATTATTTCGAACTTTGTAATCTATCATTAAGTAATATACACTGCATTAGTTGCGTGGCGCAACCAAATGTTTGTGAACGCAAGTAAATTATTTATTTCGTTGTTGAATTAAAAATTGAATAGACATTGCATATGGGCTCTGTTCAGCCTTATACAGCGAATCCCTAAATGCAAGCCGCTAGGAGATACATGAAAATCAGATGTAAACGTGTAGAGCATTTTATTTAATATCTTATTAACTTGGGGATCGAACGGAGTTTGCATCTAGGGAACGTAAAACATAGTGATGACATTTAGAGAGAGAGGGTTCACTGTACATGTACGTAGCTTTTTATAGCTTCTTAATTAGGAAATAAGTACAAAATTTACTCGAAACAGTGTAAATTATATTATAATTAATAATATAATTAATAATATAATTTACACCGTTTCTTTATTAGAATTTATAATACAATTGACACCGTTTCTGTATTCACTTCCTAATAAAGAAGAAAGAAAACTTTATTATACATGTAATAGGCTGCTATGCCCTTTCTACATGTATTAAATAGCGCCCATATTGGTTTTCTTTGTCTAAATTAGAAATTTATATAAGTGTGTAATTTTTCAACTGACAAATCATAACAAATAAAAAAATATAATAAATTACCGTTATTTCAAAATTTTAAATCAAACACAACATGAACTCAAAGATGGAATCTAATACTCATGATTGTAGTAGATGCTGGCATTGTCAACGACAGAATTATTGTGATGGATGTTCAGTTCACAATACTCATGATTGTAGTAAATGTACTTATTGTCAAGAAAATAAGTTCTGCTATGGATGCTTCAAATACTACAAACGAATTTATAAAATTAAAAGCGGAAATAAAGATATCGACCGTCTAGTAAAAGAATGCAATAATATTGCAAACTATGGAATATTTGACTGGATCCCTTTTGAAAGATTTACCAATATTCAATATCTTGCAAAAGGTGGTTTTGGATCAATTTATAAAGCAACCTGGCTGGACGGACCAATTTACGAGTGGGATCATAGAAAAAATCAATTTATAGGATCTGGAAAACTCGAAGTCGTGTTGAAATCATTACACAATTCAAAGCAAATTACATCAGAATTTATAAACGAGGTAAGAACAAACTATTGTCAAAGTGTAAACATGGCGTTTTTTTGTTTTCTAATAGAAAAAAGTTTTTAAAAATAGACTCAGAATGCTTTAAAGTGCAGTATATTTTATAGTTCCTATTATTATGGAATAACTAGAAACTCAGCTACAAATGAATACTCGATAATTATGGATTGTGCAATGGATGGAAATTTACGCAAATATATGAATTCCAGATACGAAGAATTGAATTGGGTAGTGAAATTAAGGCTTTTAGTTGATATTCTCTATCGATTGCGTAAAATTCACCAAGAGGGATTTGTGCATCGTGACTTTCACCCCGGAAATATATTAATACAGCTTAAATCTGCTTTTATTGCTGATTTTGGAATTAGCTGTTCAGCAAATAGAAAAAAATCTGATCAAGAAATTTACGGAGTACTTCCTTATATGAGTCCAGAGGTACTAAATGGAAAGCCATACCCTAAAGCAGCAGATATTTATAGTTTTGGGACGATTACGTACGAGATTGTCACAGGTGAACGACCATTCGGTGAGCGGAATCATGATATACACCTTGTGTTAGACATATATAAAGGAGTACGACCTACGATACCAAATAATTTTCCCGGATGGTGCAAATTCATTATTGAAAAATGTTGGGATCCTATTCCAGAACACAGACCAACAACTGAGGAACTTTACAACTTTATCAGCTCTATCCTCGATATCGAATCGTATGTTGAAGAATGGAAACCGAATATTTTGCACTTTCAGTACTATAGCTCTTTAGAATATCCTAAAACACATGAAGAAATTATTGAGTGTCTGAAACTAGAAAGGCAGAGATTAGATGAACTTGATGAAAAGATGGAATTAAAAAAGAGCATTCCTACAAATACGAACGAAAAACAAATCCACTCAAACGCAGTTTACACCAGTCGAATGTTTACTTCAAAATCAATATCCATTCCAACTAACACAGGTATTTTTATTTCTAAATATAAGTCACATTGACGTTTCATATTAATTAAAATTAATTTATTTAGGCACTACAAGTGTCAGTTTGTATGTTCCAAACGAAGGTAAATATTTATTTATTTTTTTCAAAAAAATACAGTATCGGTATTAAACTATACGCGTGTGACTACTAATTAAATATAGATGTCGATGTCGAATCAACAAGCAGTTTGTATCGGTATGTCTCAAACGAAGTACATGTAAATGAAGGTAAAATCACTATTTGATATTCCTCCTTATTAACCTCTTTATTTTAATTCATTATTATTTTTTCTTTGGTTCAAAACATATTTAGATAAAATCAATAAGAATGAAGAGAAATCAATTCATGATTGTAGTAAATGCACTCATTGTCAAGAAAATAAATACTACTATAAATCTGTTATATATCACCCTGAAATTTATGAAGCTGGATGGTCTAGCGAAAATAAAGATATCGACGATCTAGTAAAAGAATGCGCAAAATTTGGTTCATCCTTCGAATGGATCCCATTTGAAAGATTTACCAATGTTGAATTTCTAGCAAAAGGAGGTTTTGGGGTTATTTATAAAGCAACCTGGTTGGACGGACCATTTCATGAAGCAAATAAATTTAAACGATATGGAGAGTGCGAAGTTGTGTTGAAAACATTAAATGATTCAAAACAAATTACATTAGAGTTTATAAAAGAGGTAAAAACAAAACAATTTCGTGTAAGCAAGATGTTTTTGGTTTTCTAATAAATTAAATTTTCTAAAAATAGATTCAGACTGCTCTAAAGTGTGCTTGGGGTGGTGTTAAATATTACGGAATAACTAAAAACCTTATTACAAATAAATACTCGGTAGTCATGGTATATGCAAAAGATGGTGATCTTATTAATTCCAACTACGAAAAATTGAATTTGGAAGAAACATTAAAACATTTAGTTGATATTCTATATGGGTTGCGTAAAATTCACCAAAAAGGATTTGTACATCGCGACTTTCACCCTGGGAATATATTGGTACATCGTGTTCCCAGTGTAGCCGATTTTGGACTTACCAGCACAGCAAATATTAAAGACACTAAAACAGTTTGTGGAGTTCTTCCGTATGTAAGCCCAGAGGTACTCGACGAAATGCCATACACTAAAGCTGCGGATATTTATAGCTTTGGGATGGTTATGTACGAGGTTGTAACAGGTGAACGACCATTCGGTGGGCGGAGTTATGATCTGAATCTCGTATTAAACATCTGTAATGGCGTACGACCTATGATACCAAATGTCCCTGAATGGTGCAAATTTATTATTGAAAAGTGTTGGGATCCTCTTCCAGAAAACAGACCAACTGCAGAGGAACTTTACCACTTTATCAATTCTATTTACACGTACGATCCAGACCTTGAATGGGAACTGAATACTTTGCATTTTCACTACTATAGCTATACAAAATCACACGAAGAAATTAAAGAGTACCTTAAATTAGAAAGGCAGAAATTTAATGAAATGAAACATCAAAAAAACAAACAACAAACAATTCATTCAAATGCAATTTACAATAGTCGAACAATTCGCTCACACCAAAATGCAATTAACTGTAGTCGAATTTCCAGTACAGGTACATTCTATTCATATTACATTAATTTGAACGGTCTAAACGAAGGTAAATTGCTTGTTATATTAATTTATTACGATTTTATCTTTGGGATTGTAAAACAGGTTTCAATTTTAGTGTTAGTATACCATTTGAAATTGCTGCTTTGGGTGAAATTAAAGAGGATGCAGATATTGCAAGTGCCTTACAAGAAAATTCATGATGAAGCACTAAGTTAATATCAAAAGACGAACGTTACTCTTGTTAGAAGAATGGTAAATACTTTTTCTTTATTTAATTTAAAGTTTAAAAGCTTTAGAGATAATGATTTTGCGTTAAAAGTTGCACAACGAGAAATGGTTTCCATCGTTATTGATTATTAACTTTACATATTTATTACTCTATCAAAATTTATTTATTTTATATTTAGAGTATATGCAATAATATCTGCAAAATGATCATTTTCATGTTTATTACATTGGTTTCGCCTACTCGATATGTTTATAGCAATCACTGTAACCATTCGACTACGTATAACGAATATTCAATGTAATACTTTTCAATATTCGTTAATACAGTCCACATGGAAAGTAATGGTGAACAAATTTCCAATAAAATAATTTACAAAATCTATAACATGCACATATAAAGCATTAGTATCGGACAGACTTGAACGTGATTTCGTATACTACTGATACTGTTAAAGATTACCTCATTGGGAAGGTTCTCCATTTCTCCACTAATGCCACAAAAAACATCAAGTGACACTTTTTTTTGGCCACAATCTTCTTTCTACAATTTAACTTCAGCGTTAGAGCGATAGTCATAGTCATAGTTTTCAGATTATACCAGGAAGCTCTTATCGTAGTTTGCAAAAAGGTGTAGTTACGCAAATTGCAGTTAGCGTGAGTGTGGTCAATCAATACAGTATATCCAATATTAGATAAATTCACGATAAAAGGTTCGTTTTAACCAAAATGTGAACATATCGATATTGATTGATCCACACTAACTACAATTTGCATGACTACACTTTTTTTGCAAACTATCAAAATCACAACTTATAAATGAGTAAAGATTTATTGTTTCTGAAATATTTCTTTTTGTGATAGATGGAGTTGTTTGTAGCATCTTTTGCTTGCCCATGATGGATAAAATATACTCACTTATTTCTTGTAAATTTAATAAAAAGAGCATAAACTTAACACTCTAGCCCGGAAAGCTCGTATGTATTAGATTAGCAGAAAATAATTTCTTTAGAAACTTGCGTAAATGCTATTTTTAGAAATAAAACGGTGAATACTCTAAGAACAGAAATGTCTTTGCGAGCGTCGCAATTTCTAAAAAGTCACCACATTTAGGGGATTTTCTTTAAAAAATAAATGTCTAGATCAGACAAAGGCTATTGAAATCAATCAAATAATTATCAAAGTAACATCGACATAGAATAAAATTAATAACATTTAATAGTTAAATTGACGAAAAATCGATTAAAGAAATTCAACCTCCTTGATGTTGCATATTTCACAAATAAGTCTTATTTTATAAAGCTGCTGCAAAGTTATGCAATAGACTGCATTTGATTAGATTGGAACTGAGGTTTGGTTTGAATGCATCGTGAATCTCAGCGAGTAAAGTTTTAAACAAAGACGAGATATTTTGCTGAATACCTATATAAGTGGCGAGAAAGTTAACTATCCCGAATATTGCAAATAAACTTTCTTTCAAATTTCGCTTATATACATCTCATTATCTCGTAAACACACAAATCACTATCTCTCAATTATTAGCTACAAATGTCTTCGCAAACGATGTCGTTGCAGCAAAACACTTCCACCCCTTCTTCCAAAAGTCATAATAAACGTGACTCTGGCTTTGCTGAATTTTTCGAAACTGCCATCATTCACTCTATTGAAGAACAAGTCAGATTCGAATTGCCGTACTCTAACTATCTCGGTATTTCCTATGATCTCGCACATTTTGTGTCTAAACAATCGATTCACGAAGATGAAAACAGCGAATGGGCAAGAACTTCGCTTGAAAATGTCCTCAAACCGGTCAAAAAAGCACCCGAAGTTGTTGTTTTTAAACGGGAGATTGGAATTTTTACTTATTGGCATACTTGGACGAGAAAAATCAAGGAACGCGAACTTCATCGGCAATCGCAAAAGCGTAAGATTAAAAAAGAAACCGTGAAGGAAGGTGATGAGATTAAAAATCATCAAATGTATAAGAATGCGACTAATTCTGTCGAAGTTCATACGCCACACGTTAGAGAAATTTTCGAAATTGAGAATCGAATAACGAAAAGTCTAAAATCCATCAATTCGGTAAGTAAACTAAGTTTGGTCACACTTTTATCGCAATAATAATATTGATTTTTTATTGGTTCTACAGATTTTAACAAAAATTAACGGATGTCTTGCCGAATCAAAAAATAACGCGGAACAAATGCAAAAACTTTTAAATCGCATCAAATCGTAAGTCATAGAGCTTTTTGTTCAATGTTGTAAATCAAATGTTTTTTTATTGAAGTCATTCAAAATTTTTTTGCAGAGTTCGAGAACACTATCAACTTTAGAAAATTATTTATTCGATTTTTTCTATATGAAAAATATTATGTAACCAATATTGTATGATAAAATAAGTCTACGCATCTTCAAACACATGGAAGCACATTGATTGGTAAAAGAAAAATCAATATGCTTCCATGTGTTTGAACAAATAAGCTTCTTTTATATGCTCATTCAAATATTTGTACTTTACATTCTGGTTATCGCATATAAGGATTTTCTTTGCAATGAAAATGAACAAATCGATGCAAAATTTGAAACTGCATTATTCTTTGGACTTTTTATTTGGTTCTTTCAGTAAGTTTAATGGTTTAAATTAATAATTAATTGGTTAATAAAATACAAGGTCAACTTTCGCTCTCATATACTGCTATTTGATCCAATATAAAATGGACCTGATAATGAAACAACACGTAATGTTGTGGCTGCTTCTAATAAATTAAGGTTGACCAGGCATCTTACATAATCTATTAAATGAAAAGATCGTACAGATAATCTGTATCTTTAATAGATGTCTTTATAAAAGTGGTTCGGCCAAACAAGATAAAAAAAATATGGTTTTCATAATTTGTTGTCGCTGGTATTCCGAAAATCATGGTTTAGAGCACCAGTCAATACATTTATTGTTAACTACGTATTGCTATATTCGGTTGATCCTTGGAAGGTCGTTGGAAGGCCATTGGAAGCAAAATTAATATCAAATTGAACTTTTTAATGGCTTTCAGTTGTCATATACGTCCATGGAAGCAAAAATTGACAATCCTGCTATGGCGATAGCGATATCAATAAAACGAGGAAGTTGTGCAAGTAAAGTCAGCGAATCCTCTAGACAACATTTTTTACGGACAAAAAGGAGTTTAGAAGCATATAAAAACGAAGTAGAAACTAATAAAAACTTATTCAGAACACATCGATTTTATATAAGTTTTTGCGCTGCAAATAATTAATCATAATTTTTTCTTTTACGTATGTAGTTTACATGTATGTAGTTTACATGTATGTAGTTTACATGTATGTAGTTTACATGTATGTATATTTCCAAACGCGAATCTGTGCCCCGGTTTGGGATTATCCCGAAAAATTCTATTGTAATGTTAAATAAGTTAAAAATTGATTTTAAGTTTAGGCATCTGTTTCCATTTTACATTGTGTATTTTATATAATAACACTCTTCTTTTTATTCATAATTCCTTACCATGAAAAGAATTATCCTCAGCACTTTGTGAACAAACAATTGGTGCGTATCATATGGAGAGCAATGTTTCAGCTATTGCCTCTACCCTCACTATTCCAAAGCAAACAGTACGTGATACAATTAATCGATTTAAGGAAACAGGTTCTCTACATCCTGTAAAACGTACTGGACGACCAATAATTTTATCAGAACGTAATCAACGAAGTTTAAAACGTATTGTAAAAAAAGATCGCAAAGCATCGCTCATTAAGACTACCAATCAACCAAATGCATACATTAACAACAACTCAATTCACTTTAATACCACTCGTAATTATTATTATTTGAATCTTACTACTATGGTGCAAAGAAAAAAAACTGGAATGATGAATGTCAACAAATTGTGTGGTCAGATGAGTCACGATTTTCCCTTTTCCATTCAGATGGGCGTACAAGAGTATGGTGAAAAAATTGTTTGGTTCTAACAGTGAAATTTTGTGGATTGTCGGTAATGTTTTGGGGATTATTGGATGGGATGGTGTTGGACCTTTGGCAGAAGTTGATAACAATCTCGATTCTGATGGTTATATTAATATACTTTCCAAATATTTGGTTCCTTGGGTGAATAATCATTCTCTCTTTTCTCTCAGTCTTTTTTTCTTAATTGCTGCTAATTTGCTGTTTTGGGTCTCAATAGTTTTTTCGAAACCTTTTGCTTGCTCGTGGGCTGTGGCTAATTCTTGGCTTATATAACTTTTCAACAGGATGGTGCTTCCTGTCATACTTCGCTTCATAGTCGTTGGTGGACTGCCCAGAGTCCCAATTTAAACCCACTTGAGCATATATGGGATCATTTAGATTGCCAACTTAGAAAAAGGATTTAATTGATGCATTGAAGGAAGAATGGCAAAAAGTGCCTTTGGATATTGTACGCAGTTTAATTTCCAGTATGCCGCGACGAGTTGCAGCTGTTATTAAAGTTTAATATTTTTTAGACGAATATTATCCTATAACTTTTCTCTTTCTATTCATATATTTTTTAAATAATGATCAAAGACAAATGTTTCTATTCTGGCATGGTTTCGATTTATGTTTTGTGCTCCGATTTTTTTAACTTAAAATTACACGTATTTAATTATGTAATTCAAACATCTATGGTGCCTAAATTTAAAGTCATCAAACGTTTGTATTTTATAAAATGTATAAACTTCTTTACTAAGAAGTAAATACAAAATTTAATCCGCGAATATGCCCAGAAAAGGCCTATTCTATCATATTCACGGATAAAATTTTGTATTTACTTCTTAGTAAAGAAGTTTATACATTTTATAAGATACAAACGTTTGATGACTTTAGATTTAGGCACCATATCCTAATTTACCGCCGCACAGTTGATAAAGTACTGGCAGATGGAGATTTTGGTGAACAGCAACAAATGGATTTATCATTTTTGGAAATCAATAAATTTATTATCCTAAAGTTAATACTAGTGTCTCTTCTAGCAAATAATTAAAAAAAAATATGGATTTATTAAATAACAGCCAAATCGCTACCGTGCTAGTTTCAAATTTTTTAGTGTAACTTATAGCGAACCAATTAGAAATTTGATATTATCATAATTTTTAACAGCAGGTCCGTTTGTACAAGTACCTTATGTTGGCTCTAGTTATACGAATTTAGGACTTATTAATTAACGTTGATCTAGCATAACGATAAATAATAATAGCATCGATATAAAACTGTATCGAAATCTATAATTATTATTTGAGGAAGCTTAAATAAGGAGATCGTATTTAAAAAATGGTCGTTTTAAATTGTAGCATATGCTTTCACTTCTCTTATTTTTGGATGAAGGGAAAATGATTGATTTCAGATAACGTTTTCAGATTAGGAAAGGATGAATATATTAGTGAATTATAATTCGCTCTTCTATCATTGTTTTCATTACTTTCTAAAGACACTGATTTGTTCAAATGCTATTTTTTTTGATGCTACCAAATTAAAAATTATATTTTTTTATCCATATAACGATAACGATAACAATCCCAACTTTGCATTTACGTATATTTTCTCCAGATCCCACCTTTTATCTTTTAATAATATTATTTTCTCTTACTTCAATAAAAATGGAAGTTTTCCCCTTTTATTTGATTCTTCCGACACACATTCAATAGGACGTTTGCTGGTCGTTTTATGCTCTTTGAAATCTAGTGTTCGTTAAGAAAAATAGTATACATATTTTCGCCGCAAACATCGCATCATTGTATCATCATATTTCCCCTAACATCATTACGGCATTAACAACATTTATATCATAACATTTATATCATGACATTAACATAATTATGACATAACATCATTTACATAGTTACGACATTAACATCATGACATTAACTAGTAGACTAATAGTGGCAAAAAAACTTACAGATCCCGTGATCTCCGATCCGGTTCTGGCACATAGGGTGATCTCTGAACCAATCGATCCTCTCATATGTTTCCTTGTAAAACATAGTTGGGACTCTCTTAGATGTTGCATCTGCCCTATAAACCATAGCTGGGCGATCTATCTAATGATAAATAATTGAAAGCTCATCGTGGCCATGTGGCATTACAGCTGGATGTTATATGAACGTTCTTATTTATACTTCACACTAATAAAAAATAATAATTTTATTAGATAACTTTCGATTATGATTATTTGGGTCTACCACATCCCGACAAAATCCCGACAGTTCAAGGTCCCGATGTTTCACAATAGACAATTATGTAATATTCTCGCCTTATGATTAGTAAAATATGTCAAGAAAATCTGACTTCCAACCTCACAACTCGGCGTCTGGAGCTCACGAATATTGCAGAATGTCCAAATTACAATATTAGCGAGTTTTCATTAGTAACTCTGATCACATTAATATAAAGAACCAGTGGTTCGATAGTTTGTTTGACGATAACGATAATCAATATTTAATAAACTAATACTGATAAGTTGCGCTAAGTTCATCCAAATAAAAAATAATTTATTACGCGTATCTTTTAGTGCTCCAACCGGGTCGGGTCCAATCCGTGACCCGACTCGGAACGCACATTTCGGGTCAGTCTAAAAATCATTGTTTCCCGTTCAATATTAATTGAAATTAAACGAAAATTTGTGGATATGCAGTAGTAACGGAACCCCCATAACTTTCCATAGATCATGTGTGTTCTGAGCATAAAGAACATTACAAATGCTGATCATGATACCTTTTATAGATTGATAAAGCTTCTATATCGGGTATTGTATGTTCATAAACTTTCATGCCCCAAACACAATAATCGGTCACTTTAGGACATAATATCTCGACGTCCTGAGATCTGATTTGAGCAAAAATACTATCATTTGATTTTTCTAGATTAGACAAATCGAATGGTAGTATTTTTGCTCAAATCGAATCTCTGGACGTCGAGATATACAGTGGCTCACACATGTAACCGAACACGAAAATTAACTTTCTAGCATTTTTATTTCCATGACTATTAGTTTG